CACAGCCCGGCCTGCCACTCAACCGCCACAGGAAGCTGCAGACCCATCCCACCCCGCCCCTTCCCAGCCACTCCCTGGAAAGTGCTGCAGCTGCCGGTGAGGCAGGGAGTGCCCGAGGGCTGCAAAGTGCCCCCACTCCAGCCAGGTGAGGTCTCTGCAGTGGCTTCGCTATGGGGTATGGCAGGTTAGCGCTGTGTCAGGTTGTTCCCAGTGGGGGCTGGGACAGGCTGTGCTCTGGGAAGGCAGGGGTGGCGCTGGAAAGGGGGCTATGGCAAGGACCATAGCATTAGCTGCAGCCACCCCAGCATTAGCTGTAGCCCCCCACAAATCCCACTCCCAGCACCACTGCTGCCTGTCCCGAGCACAGTCCAGCCCAGCCCACACTGGGAACAGCTTGGCACGGCCCCGGCCCCAGCCCATCCTGACCCATGTGCAGATCTGGAGGCACATGCTCCCAGGGTCCATGTAGCGGTGGGAGCCACCACTGCCTTCCCTGGCTGGGCAGCGCCTGCCTCCTCCCCAGCACCACCTTCTCCCCTCCATAATAGACTTACCAGCTGAACCTGGCTGCTCTCCACATGGCCGGACTGTACTCCTGGCCGCTGGTGTGCTGTGTTGCAGCTGCATGCATACATACGGAGTTTTGTGTACTCCCTATGGCCTTTTAAGTATCTCTAGGAGTACACATGCCCCTGGTTGACAACCACTACTATATGGCATCATAGCAAACAAGACAGCCATGCAAAAACATTTCTTGTGTCATGTTAGTATTTCTTGACATTCATTTGACAAAATTAAATCTTATAGATAAATTTAATCGTACCCAAATATATTAATCTGGGTCTTTTGAAGAATGTTTCATTCAGTAGCCTTTACCAAATTCTCATATGCTTTTTTAACAAGTCTGCCTGTTACATACTCTTGTACAAAAGCATTTTTCCTATAATATTCTGAAGGGTAATATTAGTATGACTCAACATATGGGGAAAAGGGAAAGACATGATCAACAATTCCACTGATTATCATAATTTCATTTTTTTTTTTTTTTAAGGAAGCTGGTCTTAAGGAACCAATTAAAGGGCTAGGAGAAATAGGTTTGATAATTTTGAAAAAAATAAGCTGGTAACTACATAAGAGCACAGATTAGGACAGTGGTCTCCAACCATTTTAAGTAGGAGATCACCTTTGGAATTTAAAAGCAACCTCAAGATCTACTATGTGACATGCCTCCCCCTCTGCCCCCCCCCCCCCCCCCCCCCCGCCCAGCAGGTAAGTCTGTGGGGGAAGGGGCAGGGGGAAGGGAAAGGGCCATGGGTGGAGTGGGGCAGATCAAGGCCCCAGCCCAAGCCCCACTTCCTCCCTCACTGCTTGGGCCTCGATTTGCACCTTCCCCCAATGGTGGGGAGGGAGGAAGGGAAGGGAGTTGCAGCAGGGGCAGGCCCTGCACAGCCAGGGCGGGAAACAAAGGCATGAGAGGTTCATCCCGGGGCCATGAGGAAGGGGGACCACACAGCCTAGCAGGGCAGGCGAGGTGTATGCCCCCAGATCTGTACACCGACTGGGCTGGCTGCCACTGTGGGCTGGGACTGGAGCAGTGCTGGGAGTGGGGCTATGTGGAGGGCTGCAGGCACCCAAAAATTCACCACAGCCCCTGCTCCCAGCACCACTGTTTGGCCAGATCGCAGCACAGCACAGTACAGACCAGACCAGACCAGACCAGACCAGACCAGATCAGACCACCGCTGTGAAGAGCATGGCGCTGCCTTCCCCTTCCCCCTGGGGTTGGGGGGAGGGAAGGGTAGGCTGGTGCTGAAAGACAGTACCACGCTTTTCACAGTGGTGCTCTGCTCTGTGCTGCGCTGTGGTTGGGCCAAGCGGCGGCACTGGAAGTGGAGGCTATGGTGAATTTTCAGGTGCTTGCATAGCCCCACTGCCAGATCAAGCCCCCTGCATAGCCCCACTCACAGCACTGCCTAGGTGCAGCCCTGGAGCCTGTAGTGGCAGCTAGCACACCCGACGTGCAGATCCGGGGGCATATGTGCCCCATGCCCTGCTGGGCTGCGTGCCCCCCTCCCACAGCCCGCAAATGAGCTGCTCGTGGCTTTGTCCTTCACTCCAGCTGTGCAGGGCCTCCTCTGCTCCAGCCGCCCTCCTTCTCTCACTGCTGCTGTAGCCGCCCATGCTGCTTGGCATTTGTGGGGGCACGTGCCCCCACATCTGTGCATGGCAGAGGCAGCTATCATTGAGGGCTGGGCTTTGTGCCCCGGGCTCAGCTGCAGCTGGTCCAGTAATGGCCTGATGCCAGGTGCGTCCAGCCACTGGGCTGAGCCTAGTCCCTTGCCTGCCCAGCAGTAGGACTCACATGGTGTTGGGCCACTCCTGAGTGGGCTGCAGCTGGGCTTGGGGCACAAAGCCCAGCCCACAACAGGTGTTGGCTCTTCTGCACACAGATGGGGGGGCATGTGCCCCCCGGGGCCTCCGCCAGGGTGTGCACAGAGCTCCCCCACACCTGTGGATGAGCCACCGAAGCTCAATCGTCCCACCATGCTTCCAGCCAGGGCCCCATTCAACTTACCCCTGCTCCTGCCTCTGCGGCACTGTCCTTGACTGTGGGGGCCTCAATCTGGCCCCCTTCCTTCCTTCCTTCCCCCATGGACTGAGCTGCCGGCCTGGGGGTGGGGCATGCACATGCATGGACATGTGCTCAGCCCCTCACCAGAGCCTGGGATCGACTCCAAGAGGCTCTGAGATCTACAGGTCAATCGAGATCTACT